CCAGGCTTGGTCAGTTGACATTTCTGTGTGGAGTTTGCATGTTCTCCCTGTATTCACATGGGTTTCTTCTGGGTGCTCCGGTTTCCCTCACAGTCCCCCAAGTAAATAGTTAATAATAAATATGTGTTTCTAAATTTAAAGTGCTATATATTACAGTAATCATCAACAATTTTTAACAATAATAGTTACTATTTCGACTAGACATTCTGTTAGGGCTGGGCGATTTGGCCTAAAATCAAAATCTCGATTAATTGAACATTTTAACTCGATTACGATTAAACAATGATTATTTTATTTATTTTATGTTTTTGCCCTCATAATTCACTGACAGGTCTTGTTCAGTATGAAGGGTGCATAGCTTGATTTTAAAATAATTGAAGTAAACACGCACCATCTACTATCTATGATTATTTATTGAAGATCAACTGAAATTAAAACACACATTGTCTAAAACACAGCTCTCTTCGGCGCCCACCCTCATCACCTCCACAAAACTGACCAATCACAAAGCTTGTGCTACAGATCGTTGTGATGTGTAGCTAAATTTTTTTGAGAGGGGTATGGGTTGTGCCAGACCATACACATGCAGTTGGCAGAAGAATAATATCAGAATAATAAAATAAGTATAAATCATAATATAGTAAGTACAAATTAGCCTTGACAAAGCGGGGTCACGTGACTCCACACACGGTAGGGAAAGTAATTGAAAAAATTGACCTGGAAAAATTTGATTGATTATAGGTTCAGAATGTCGATTCATTGCCCAGCGGCATCACTGTGATGCAGTGGGTAGCACAATCGCCTCACAGCAAATAGGTTGCTGGTTCGAGCCTCGACTGGATCAGTTGATGTGTCAGTATGGAGTTTGCATGTTCTCCCAGTGTTCGTCTGGGTTCCCTCCGGGGGCTCCGATTTCCCCCACAGTTCAAAGACATGCGGTACATGTTAAGTGAATAAGCTAAATAGGCTGTAGTGTGTGCAAGAGTGTATGGGTGTTTCCCAGTGTTGGGTTGCAACTCAAAGGGCATCCGCTGTATAAAACAGGGTTTTTCAAAATTTTCAGCCCGCGACCCCCAAAATAACAATGCCGGTGACTCGCGACCCCCAATATCTGAGGTGGTTATAAATTCCGAAACCTTGCATGCAATTGCGCACACACACACATACCAATAAACCCAAGTATTTCCTCGTAGAATTTTTTTAAATGTATGTCAGTGCTGTAAATGTGCCAGAAAGTTTAACCTGGTGTTATCAAATCAATCTGCTGACACTATTGCTGTGTCTTTAATATAATGTAATAACCCCAGGGGTCGCAATCCAATAGAGATAGTAACTATAAGCTACTATAGCAACTATATACAGTAATATATAGTAAATATAAACGACTATTTTTTCTTTTACGTACATCATGGATAAAATATGGTAATTCTTATGGTTTAATAAAAATAGATTTTTGGAAATCACCATGTGACCCCCCTTCATTGTTCCTCGGGGTGTCCCGACCCCACTTTGAGAACCACTGGTATTAAACATGTGCTGGATAAGTTGGCGGTTCATTCCACAGTGGCGATCCTGAGCTATTCAGCATAGGAAAGAAGTAATAACAAGGATGCTAGCCCATTTTGGATTTATTTTAGTAATGTTTGATGAATACAAAAAATAAGGTAGTAGTTTAGAGATTAGCTAAAGTAACCAAATGGTTATTATTTGTAACGAATAAATGTAAAAACAGCTAGCCATATTGCATTCCCCTTGAACAGCTGCAGAATGAAGAAATGCTCACAGCAGTGTGCTGTCATGTCCCTCTGTCCACAAACATCACCTTAAGGTGTAAGGAGTCACACTTTCTTTCTGGATTCTCCCCAGAAACTCACTTGCTTTTGCACAGTTTGAAACCAAACCTCAATATTTGAAGAGCTCAGATGCAAAAACCTCCAAGTGCCGTCTGAAATTGTTTTTAAAAATGAGCATTTTTCTAATCCTCCTATGTTTATGATTAGTTATTTCATGTTTAAGGCAATACAAATAACATATTCTTTGGCATAATAGTGAAAGTGCTAAACCTACACACATTTTAGAAGAAAATTTCAGGTTTTTGCATCCGAACTCAACTCACTTTTTAAATTAGGATGACTGCTTTTGGTCATTTATAATAGACTGTAAACAAATGCTGGGTTCCTTTACAATCAATTTGTGTCGGGACATCATGAAGCTATTAAGTTAGCTAATTAGTTTTCACAAATTGAAGTGGATTGGATATAAAACAATTAACTTATCCCCAAAACAACTAAAACATTGTGTTGTTTCAGCTCATTTTAAATAAGTAGTTTGAACAGACGGCAAACATCTTTTTTTTGTGTGTAGTTTGAGATCAAAACATCATGTAATGCTCAACAGAAATGAGTTATCCTGTTTCTGCATTTCCAGGCCTGGAATGTTCAGAAAAATGCCAAAACGGAGGCACATGTGAACCAACTGCAGACGGGAGAGGAGAATGCAAGTAAGTGATAAGATTCTCGACTGCATGATATTGCTGTGTCTGATACCCAGAAGGAGTCAAACATATTGTTGATTGAATAGCACACACATACAGTAGCTAAGGAGATTTTTAAAAGTTAAAGAGATAGTTCACCTCAAAATGATGTTTACTCACACTTGACTTGTTCCAAACCAGTTTAAGTTTCTATTTGACACTAAAGAAGGTATTTTGAAGAATTTTACACCGTAAAAAAATGTTTGGTTCCAAATAATCAATTTATCTTGGGACAACATGAAGGAATTAAGTTAAGGTAATTAATTTTTACAAATTCAGGTGGATTGAACTTAAAACATTCAAGTTGTCCCAGAATAAAACCTCAAGGATTGTGTTGTTCCAGCTCAATTTAAATAAGTAGTTTTGCCGTAAACATATTTTATGAGTGAAGAAACCTGTAACTGACACCATAGTGTTTGTTTTTCTTATAGTTGTCAATGGTTTCAACATTCTTCAAAACAGTGGCGACTACCATGCGTACCTACCATGAGAGGGTGCAAATTATTGCCACTTTTTAAATTATATAAATTATATATATTACATAATTTAAATTGATTATTAAACAGTATACACTACCATATTTTGACAAAGCGGGAAATAATGACAATAAATAAAGGTGTGCGTTTTTGTGTTTTAAAGTGTGTGTGTACTTGCATGGCTGGAGATGGGTAATGAAATCTATTGACTTTAATTTTGCTGGCGGTTTTTCCGCACACTAAAAATTACTATTCAGAGAGCTGTTGTTCAAAACAAGGTTTAATATGAGTAAAGTCTTTTTAAAACAGTTAAACTTAATTGAGACATTTGCCAAAAACCCTTAAACTAATTAGACAAATATTTCTCACATGGGGTCCAGTCTCCCAGTCTCATCAGCACTTGAGCCGCGGGAACTCCAGGCCCAGCCCGTGGCCGCGCAGCCTTCTCGCATGGAACCGCTACCATTCAAGGTGTTACAAACACTTTTATCTGACAGACTGGCACAAATAAGCAGACATCTTCATTCTCACAATGAGTTTCTGAGTTCTCTCACCCTTAAAAAGAGTTTGAGAGGTTTTGAAGTACTTCACCTTAGATGTTATTCGTTATTCTTGTTATTCTTGTTATCCTTTTTTCAGCAAAGAGCCATTTCTGATTTTTTTTTTTTTAGCAAATGTATTTTTGTAAAGAGCCATTTGGATGTATATATATCAAAATGTTTTTTTTTAAATGCATTTGCTACTGTGTTACTATACATTACTAAAATATTACTGTATTACTACTAATACTATATTATTATTTAATACTATAAAGATCAGAATCAGTTTTATTGCCAAGTGTGCTTCACACACACAAGGAATTTGTTTTGGCTACAGAAGCTTCCAGTGTACATAAAGTGACAAGTGACAACACAAAATAAATATGAGAAAAAAAAGACGATAAACATTAAACAGAGATGCAGTTAGTCAAGAAATCTGGATGTTGAATTGCATGTACAGATTTGTTATAAATAAACAGGTTATACGTTGCTGAGTAAAAATGCGAATGGAGAAAGTATTACATTATATATTGCTATAAGGTGCTGTGTACAAGTGTGTATGAGAAAGAATTGCACATGTTTATTGCACAGTTGGGGAATATTTAACTGTTCATAAGGTAGATGGCCTGAGGAAAGAAACTTTTCCTGTGTGTGGCTGTTTTTGTGCTTGGTGCTCTGAAGAGTCGACCGGACAGTAACAGTTTAAACAGGTAGTGTGCTGGGTGCGAGGCGTCCAGAGCGATTTTGCGAGCCCTTTTACTCACTCTGGAAGAGTACAGTACTTGAAGTGTAGGAAGGGTAGTGCCAGTGATTTGTTCAGCAGTTCGGACTATTCGCTGTAGTCTATGGAGGTCGGTTTTGGCAGCTGAGCCAAACCAGACAGCGATTGAAGTGCAGAGGATGGATTGGATGAGGGCTGTGTAGAACTGTACGAGCAGCTCCTGTGGCAGGTTAACCTTCCTCAACTGATGAAGGAAGTACAGTCTCTGCTGGGCTTTTTTCACAATAGAGTCTATGTAAATGTCCCACTTTAGATCCTGAGAGATGGTGGTGCCCAGGTATTATAAATAATACAGGTTTAAACAAAACCTGATTTATGTCCATGCACAGCTCAAAAATAATCAAATATAAAGCGTCACATGTTGAGCAAGTCCATAAATGAAGAAAGAATGATTTTAATTTTTTATTTTATTAAATATATATATATATATATATATATATATATATATATATATATATATATATATATATTATTATTATTATTTTTTTTTTTTTCAAATATATATATATTTTATTCCTTATTTTTATCATTGTTATTTTTGCCATCACCACTCATGAATTGTTGTTTGAATTTAAGTGACCATAGAAATGTAAGATGTCCGCCCTTTATTGGTGTCCCAATTCAATTTTATCCATATTGCCACAAACGCACATTGGACAAAAGGTCCTTTTATTGTTTACTGACTTCTTATTCATTGTGGTGTGTAAAATTACAATTTAAAAGGGGATTGTAATTGTATTTTTAATAGGAAACTGATTTTTAGTTATGTTTGTACTTTTTAAACAGTAAAATAATATTGAAGGAAGACAGCTGGAGAGCCATATATTTTTGTTCAAAGAGCCACTTGTTGCTCGAGAGCCATAGGTTCCCTACCACTGATCTAGTAGATAACTGACCAACAACAACAACAAAAAAACATTAAAATTAAGATACAATGATGTGCTTTCATTTTCTTTGTCTCACTTGCTGCAAAGCCCTTAAATAATGTTGCCTTTGACAGCCTGGATCAGTATTTATTGAGATTGAAATAAGAATAACTGGGTGCTGGATATGTGCGTACCTTTGAATAAAATCCTGCAGGCGCCCCTGTTTCAAAATATCTTCTTTTGTGTTCAACAAACAAAACAACAAACTCAAACTTGCTTGTGACTTGCTAATTAAAATTTTTGGGTGAACTATCCCTTTAAGAAATGCAATATAAAAGCTACTGCATACCAGAGCACATGCAGCCAATTTAAATCTCAAACACACAAACAAAAGCAAAGTGTGCTTCTCTCTGAAGAACATGGCCTCAGCTAATGAACGACATACACGGCCTCTGATGAAGAGAGTTTAGGGCATCAACCCCCCCTCCGGGTGCTCGTAAGTACGGGCCACTCCTCCTGCCCAAGTCTCGTAGACACCCAGAGCCCTAAATCTTATTTCGCTTTTCTTTTATAGAACGACAGCTGGGGTTTGCCTGAAGCTCGGCGATCATTGTTCTCTAGTCTAGATTAATTCTGTGTGACTAATCTGTTTGAGGCTTCCCAGAATGCCTGAGGCCCTCCCCGCCCTCGCACCCTGTCCCTGATCGGGTGTTTTGCCCTATTTTGAATGCCCATTCACTCTGTGTGATTTACATTAGAAGGACAGATGGCGGTAGAGTGTAATTGGACTGGATGTTTTCATAATTGGTAGCATTGCACCAGTGGATAATCGCGAGCAAACAGGTTGCATCAGCACGCATAGCATCACATCACTCTGCTTTTATGTTCGGGTGAATGTAATTTTAAAAATGTTGATTTTGAAATATTGTATTTTGAAATGTTTGCATTTATTTATATATATATATATATATATATATATATATATATATATATATATATATATATATATATATATATATATATATATATATATATATATTTTAATATATATATAATTATATATATTTTTTTAAATAATAAAAAAGATTAAATAATTTTTCTGGACTGTTTGTTGCACTGTAATTTGGGGCTGGCGGGGGCTCTGCATTTTAATGGTTGAGTAATGTGTAAATAATTGAAAGCATAGACTTACCAACTTTTAACACAAATGATTTTTATTAACTCTATTAAACTCACTTTTACTTTTTCCCTCAAACTCTTATAAAAACTTTTTTATATTTCTGATAAAATTATATCATAGATTAACAATAACAACAACAACAACAAAAACAATAATAATAATAAAATATTGATTATAAAAATAATAATATGAAAAATGATGATAATACCAAATAGTTTATTTATTATTTGTATTACAAGTAGTAATAAATAATAATAAAGTTTAATAAAAAATATTAATAAATAATGTTGACAAAAACAATTCATAATAACAATAATAATAATGAAAACAATGATAATAATAAGCATAATAAAATAGTTTAATAATAATAATAATATAAATAAATAATAAATAAAATAAATATTAACAATAGTTTTTTATGAATAATAATAATAATAAAGTAAGATTAATAATAATAATAATAATTATTATTATTATAATTATTATATGAATAATAATATGAATAAATAGTGATGATATTACAAATACTTTATTTTTATTAATAATAATAGTATAATAATAATAATAAAGTTTTTATAGTTAGTATAGTTTATTTAATATTATAATTAATAATAATGAAAATTAATAATAAAAATATTGATAAACAATGATAAGAATAATCGTTTATTTTATTATTAATAATAACAATAAAAAAAAGTAAACTATGATTAATAATGCCAATAACAACAACAATAATAATATTTAAAAAATAGTTGAATTGTAATAATAATAATAATATTAATAATATTAATTATAATAATATGAATAAATAATGATGACAATAACAGTAATTTATTTTTATGAATAATAATAATAACAATTATAATAAAGTAAATTATGATTAATAATAAAATGTATAATACTAATATGGATAATGATGATAATACCAATAGTTTAGTTTTATTATTAATAATAGTATAATAATAATAATAATAATAATAATAATTATTATTATTATTACTATTATTATTATTATAATTAATAAGGTATATTATGATTAATAATAATAACAATAAAATAATAATAATAATAATAATAATAAAGTAAATTACAATTAATAATAATAATAATAATAATAATAATAAT